GCTCGGAGGCCCCCGGGCCAGGGGAAGTGAAACCACCCGGGAAAGTGAAGGGCCCGCCGGCCGCCCCCAGCAGAGCGGCGGGGATACCAGCCAGCGGTCACAGCCTCCGGAGCCGCTCGAGGTAATGGCCTAGGTGGGGGGGGGGCGCGCTGTCGCTCACCGGGGGGCCCTTCCGGTAGGTGTGACAAGGGGCTCTGGGCCTGGGGACTTCCCTCAAAGGCACAGACGTGCAAGTTCCTTCCTCCATCTGGAAGTAGATGAGTGTATTTGTCGAGTTCTCATGCACCTTCTTTTAGAAGCAAAAGCGAGGCCTGGGAGCAAGAGGAGGTGAAGTGACACCTCAGGCAGGTGGCAGGGACGATTGGTGTTCCCTCCTGCGTGGCTGGGCCGGGCCAACCGGCTCCGGACACACTTCTGTCTGGCAGCCAGGAGGAGCCCCAGCTGCCGGCCACACAATGCTCGGGGGCCCTCAGGGGGATGGAGTGCGAGGTTTTGGAGGCTGGTGGCCCGTGTTACAGGTCACTGGGGAGAGGGGACAAGGGGCAGGGCCCTTGCTGGAGGATGCCATGGGGGCAGGGGAGATGGCACCGTGACGTCTTCCTGCCCAGAGATTTCACTTTTGGTAGACACTGTCCTCTGAGGAGAGGTTCAAGGACCAGGTGAGGTCACAGGGACCCTCAGATTCAGGCTGCCACACCGCCGGCCCAGGGAACGGCCATCTGGTTCCTTAAAAACTCCCTCCTGGAGTCTGATGAAATAATTGAATAAAAAAGATACACAGAATAACTGAATGCTAACCCTGGATATGACATGTCCCAGAGATGACCACACATTCCATTTTTGTCATGTCCCTGTATCTCTGTTTACTTAATATTATTCTTTAAATTAACTTGCTTTGGGGAAGAGGATATAGCTCAGTGGCAGAGTGTGTGCTTAGCCTGCACGAGGTCCTGGTTTCAATCTCCAGTACCTCCATTAAAAATAAATAAATCTAATTACCACCTCCCAAAAAAAGCAAACAAAAAATTAACTTTCTTTTAGATTTTTTTCCATACATATCACATTTCAAGAACTACTGGTCTCGTCCAGTTCACGTTTTTTTGCAGGTGAGACATGCGGTGATTTGCCCAAAGTCTCACAAAGATGTGGTAATATGGGGCTGTGCCTGGGGCCTCCTCATGAACCGTCCAGGTTCTTTCTGGTGGAAAGTGTCACACTGTCCCGTGTGCAGAAGGCAACCCCAGGTGTGATTCAAACAGTTCAGGTGCCACATGCAGGGGGGTCCCTCCCTCCTCCCTGAATCCCGGCGCACGGCCAGCCTGGGCAGCTGCCCTCGGGAAGCTTCGAGAACCTCTGATGCTGGTTCTCTGGAACTCCTGCAGGGCCGCGGGTCTCCGTTCTGGGACAGGTTCTTGTATGACTTATTTCCTTTTCCTCCCCCCAGCTTTTCTTTTTCCTTCTGGAATGTCTGTGATCTGGGGGTTGGACTTCCTGAACCAGTAACTGTCTCATCTCCTTCTCTCCTACTTTGACCTACTTTCTAAAACGGTTTCTTCAGTTCCATCTCTTAACGTTGCTGGCACACTTAAAACCTTCCAGCGCTCGTGTGTTCAGTTTGTAAAAGCGCTCTCTCATCCTGCTTTTCTACACCGCCTTGTTCCTGTTTCATGGACACGTCTCTTCTCGTCTCTGTGAGGATATTAGTTACACTTCTACTGAACTTTCATTTCCTGCACTAGTTCCTTCTGTGTTAGTTTTGATTTTGTTTCTTGTTTTTTGTCATGTTTCTCCATGAGCCTCGATCCTCTGCTCTCTGGCTACATACACATGTATTAAAAATTTTAAAGTTTGTTGGTCTTTTTTGGGGGGTAACTAGGTTTATTTATTTACTTATTTATATAGTTGCTTTAATGAAAGTACTGGGGATGGAACCCAGGGCCTCCTGCTAAGACGCCCTCTCCGGTGAGCTATACCCTCTGCTCTGGTGATATTTGAAAGTGAAACACTAACAACCTGGTTGCAGTGTCTTCCTCTATGATGAGCAGGCCTTGCTGAGGACAAGCTCCTGGCTGGGAGGCCTCACAGTGACCTTTGCTGCGGGACCCTCCTTGTCTGTAGCCATAGGCTCCCTCTCTGGGGTCTCGGAGAAGCGTAGTCTAGCAGGGTGCGAGGAGGGGCTCAGTTCCGCGCCTAACCCTGCACATTTCGCACCCAGCCTGCCCGGGTCTCCGTCTGAGCGGCCCCCTCTCGGGCATCCGGATGCCGGAGCCACGCGCCCTGCCCTCCCTGCTGCTGGCCCTGGCCTGTCTGCCCTCGGCTCGGCTGCGTCCGGAGCCCAGCACGGGACCAGCTGCTGACGCGAGAG